AAGGGCTAGATGTCGTTTTCATGTTTGTTAATTTCATGATTTGTTTGTATTATATTTTGCATGCGAAATACAAGACCAAGCTGCTTAGATGATTCTCAAAGGGCTAGATGTCGTTTTCATGTTTGTTAATTTCATGATTTGTTTGTATTATATTCTGCATGCGAAATACAAGACCAAGCTGCTTAGATGATTCTCAAAGGGCTAGATGTCGTTTTCATGTTTGTTAATTTCATGATTTGTTTGTATTATATTTTGCATGCGAAATACAAGACCAAGCTGCTTAGATGATTCTCAAAGGGCTAGATGTCGTTTTCATGTTTGTTAATTTCATGATTTGTTTGTATTATATTCTGCATGCGAAATACGAGACCAGGCTGCTTAGATGATTCTCAAAGGTTAGAAGTCGTTTTCATGTTTGTTAATTTCATGATTTATTTGTACTACATTCAGATATATTTGACGGAAGTTGAAGTCAGTTCCCACACTAGATATCCTTCACATGAGATATGTAATTATTTAGGTGTACGGATTCGGCATAGTATATTCGCATCATAAGTACAATATGTCATAAAAAAATTAAATTTGAAGCAATGACCGTGTACGGGCCGCACCCAACTAGTTCACCAGGACGATAACAATCAGATTCTAAATATTAGTCTTCCTAGTTCCGTATAAAATACCGAAGCAGTGACCCAGCCTTTTTATGTCAAAGTTAAACGGCAACTACAAAGGTCACGAAATAAACCATATTTTTCTCATATTGTTTAAAACTGCTAACTTGGTATCAGAGGTCAGATCAATTCATCAAATCGGAATATAATTTAAGTGGAAGCTTTCTTTGTTTACCACGAAAAATTTATGTTCATGTGGACCTCGTACATCTCATGATTAAGAAACATTTATAAAGTGCAAATCAGACGCTAATAGAATCGGTTGCAAAACTACAAAAATCTATTCTGAATGTACCACACAATAAACCCATCTGAACTTTTATACGCTGAAACAGAAATTCTTAAGATACAAGAATTATATATTGTACGAAATTGTCATTATAAATCGAGAATCAAGAACTCTCAAATTACCTTACTTATCCCAAAGAAAGACATCATGCTATAATCATTTATCTATCAAGCTTCACTATTATATAAAAACATACGTTATTATTACCTAATTTTTGCTGTTTTCAGCTTCAACTCTATCATGTGTTGTCAAATTGAAGATTAGGTATGTTGTCAGTCAGTTAACTGGTAGTAGGTTAGGTGTTTTGTCAGTTGTCAGATTGGTAGTTGTCGGTGTTGTTTATTGTTAGATCTTTCGATATGTTTCGCAAAGTCTGTAGCATGAAGTCTAGAGATAGAAGGTTAAGCTCGTGGAGTGGTGGTGAAACCATAAATGTCGTTGATGAATTAGGTTCTGCGCATGTAGCGTCTCGTTCTCTATCTTTCTTTCTTTCTGTTGCTGTCATCATGACTGTAAACAACTCCAATTTTGACAATTAGGACGAGCAGCATCACTGGATAATATACTAAGTGACATATAAATCCGAACACCCAGTTTAAATGGTTTTATTTTAATAAAATTTTGTATAAGTACTTAATGACTTAATGAAGCATAATAAGTAAATGATAAAAATTTCAAAATGATTGCACTGCTTTAAAGCCCTTTGACCTTAAGTCCAATAATGTGTGGATGCGCCCTGATGTGCTACGCATTCTCCAACGCGCCTAGGCATGCTTCTGATCAGGTGGCCAATGTCCTCCTGTGGTATCTCATTCCAGGCAACCACCAACTCCTCTCGAAGTGCTTCTAGAGTCTGAGGAGGACGTTGCAAATTGAGCAATCTCCTACCCATCATATCCCACACTTGCTCAATTGGGGATAAGTCGGGAGATCTTGGTGGCCATGGTAACAATGTGACATCATTATGTTGAAAGAAGTCTATTGTGACTCTTGCAACATGTGGTCGGGCATTATCTTGATGGAAAGTTGGATCTGCCAGGGTGCCAAGATAGGGTAAAAGATGGGGTTCTAGAACTTCGTGGATATAACGCTGCGCGTTCATGTTACCTCTGATGAAGATTAAAGGTGACCTGGAACCATAAGCTATAGCACCCCAAACTATAACTCCAACAGTGTGATGAACATGTCTTTCAACAAAAAACTGTGGATTCCTCCTTTCACCACGTCGCCTTCTAACCCTGGCACGACCATCGTGCATGCCTAACCAAAATCGAGACTCGTCACTAAAGTCAATACTGTTCCATTCCTGATCCCAGAGTGACCGTTGTCTGCACCACTCAAGGCGATTACGTCGGTGTTCTCGAGTTAAAGGGAGGACCCAGTGTGGCCGGTATGCAAACAAGCCAAAACTTCTCATTCGTCGCTAAACACTTCCCATGCCAATAGGTCTTCCGTGTTCTGCAAACCATTCATTTGCAATGGACCTGGTAGTGGAGAAACGGTCCCTTAAGGCCAATAATCTTAGGCGGCGATCTTCACGGTCTGTTGTTCTACGGCGGCGTCCAGTGCCCCTTGCTCTTTGCGTACGGCCTTCTCGAAGCCATGCCTGACAACACCTAACCACAGTGTCTACATTTCTTTGCACTCTAACTGCAATTGCCCGAAAAGAAAGTCCAGCTTCCCGAAGTCCCACTATACGGCCCCTATCAAACTCATTAAGTTGACGAAATCGTACAGGTCTCCGTACTCTAGGCATCGTAACCGATCGTAAAGGATGTCAAGAACCAAAATCCGCCAACGTTGATTCTTTACTGCGGCTGAAATATTCATTTTTAGAGCATTAGTGAATTAAAAAAAAGCAGTATAAAAACCGGAATATCCAACTGATAAGGCTGAAAATTTTTTCACTTGTTATTTACAGTAAGATAAATACATTCACCAACTTTTATTAAAATAAAACCATTTAAACTGGGTGTTCGGATTTATATGTCACTTAGTATATTAATTAACCAGGAAGTAATAAGCCTACAAAGCATGGCAAAACGTGAGTGAAATGCAGATAAAGATTGCGGCAGGTTATGTTGACATTTTTTCAATGCACAGACGCTATGCACCATGTTCTAAGCACACTAGATTTCCGAGAGCCTCACCATGCTTGGCGTCATACGAATGCATGTAGCCCTAACACAGTCTAACCTCCTATCTCTAGTGATCGGGTATGTAGTTTTCTAGACAGTGACCTTGACACACCCCCACTAAGGGTATATGAAGGAATGTCGAGGTGTAGATTGAGGTTAAGTAAGATTTTTGAGATTTGAGCGAATGAAACATGAAAAAGCGGCCATTCGTGACGATGTTAATTAAAATGAAACCTTTACAATGGTATTTATGCTGTATGCCACATTACTATATTAAACGTTTGAGAGTTCAGCAAAAGTTGTTTAAAAAGGTAAATGGCTCTCTTGATACTACATATATGCATGTATCGATATTTATAGGGTCAAACTTTCATGCATCATATTCTAGAGAAGATATGACAGATTACCTCTTTATTTGTTACAAATTAAACAAGCCAAAGCAAGCCTCCTAAGTTAAAAGACATTGTCGTGCATTACAACATTATTTAAAACCACATATTTATGTACAATGCGTTTCATCTTTATTTAATTTAGGGACAACCATTTGCTATTGTAAATCTAATAAATAGTTCGTTAAACCTTCAATCATTTATTTAATGTCTAGACAGGTTATTTAATGTAATGAAAAGCACCATATCGCACTCGTCTATGCATATGCGGAAGTTCTGAATCGATCAATTCACATAAATTTGTAACAAAATTGAAAACAATCTTGCTAACGAAAGAAAGTTACGTACCTACTATAAATTATTTATTGACGTGTGCGTGATATGACATAGCAACAGAACCATTTCACACTATTTCGATTATAATATTCACATACAAGCAGATGTGGAACTATTAATGCCCAGTTTGTAAACGGAAAAAAGAAGTCTCCGTCAGGTCCTGCTTGTCGAGATATATCTAATTTGTCCAGCACACGTTAAGGATAAACATAAAAGTCCTAGGATTACGTCTCAAATTCTTAAAGTATTCTGCAAAGACGGAAGATATTTTTTGTAGTTAGAAATTAGATTTTCTAAGTGTGAATGTCTTCACTTCAAGTTATGTTGCCAACATTTTTGTAAGTACGTATTAATTATGCCATAGTAATTACAGAGCTGCTTCAGAAATAGAACGAAATCCAGACGCTGGCCAAGGGGTAGTGTCCTTCAAATAATCACGATTTATCCATGGCTGAAACTTTTACACCTATCTGAGAACTATGAGAGGCATTTCGTCTCAAATGGAATTTAAACCATTTTCCAATCGACGATACATCACTCTTATCACCATTTGGAAACTTCAAAAATCACACCTCTTGTAAACAACAAAATAACTTTCTATGAACAAGTATCACGAAAGTAGCTAGAGAGTTAGTGCTTTCACACCTCCTCTAGTCTATTTTATGTTTTCCCATATTCCTGTAGCAGTTGGCGTGTTGTTGGAGAGCTATTTTAGAAGCCAGTATCATCATCGATACTAACAGCGGATTTTTTACTCAGAAGTTTTATAAGAAATAGGCAAAAACAAGCCAAGTAACGCAACGACGCGGAATTAAGTGAGCTGGCGCAGTAATTTCCAAGTCGATTTAGGAGTAAGCTTCAGTACTACGAGATGTATATTTATTACATTGACAGTGTCATCAAATTTTGATTTGAATTAGTCATCCATGTAACAATTCTACTTCAAAACTGACTCGACCATTACAGCTCACCTAGCTTGCGACACTCTCCGTCTCAACTTGTTGCTCGGTCTTCACGTCTTCGTCAAATGTTGAGGCACTTGGTAATAGGTCATACGATTAGCATTGTATTAAAAATCTCCATATTGAAAATGACGTAATGGATATTTGACTTTAAAGTGATTGAAGTTGATGATTGACGAGGTTATATGATGATTTGTTAGTACTGGTGCACTCACCGTGCACTGTCCTTATCCCTCAACTCCACCCTGGGCAACCAGACTGACCTGCTAACGGAGTAGATGCGATGGTGAGGGCCGATAGCAGCCAATGGGTCATCAGTGACGGTATGTTCCGTGCTGTGATTGGCCATTGCCGTCATAGCGCCGCCTCCATCGGGCGGCTCTGATTTACGCATGAATCGCAGCATCACCTGGAAGGGGCGGGGCACTGGTGAGTGTGGGCTTGGCTACCGATAGTACGGACGAATGAGGGCGGCGACTGCGAGCGAAGCATAACGCCCAGCAGGGGCGAAAGGCGGTGCAGGGAAATAAGGTGGTCGGTCTGAAACAAGAAAGAGTTGCATTTAGTACCTTTGTTAACAGTATTTTCCTGTACTATGGTAGTTACCGTCTTTCATGCAAAAATATGTGGTTATAAAATGTACAGAAAGAAAACTTAGTCCACGGATAAGTAGCGTAAACATAATATAAAAACACAAAGTTTATAGTTAGAAAGTTTGTTCACCATTCCACCTATCATAATGCACTTTTAAGCTATTCACTAACGTAGCATTAGACACAGTTTTTGGTAAACTGTTTCAAATGTTGAATAGGCGTTTGGGGAGGAACCACTCTCGGACTGTCATTCTAAAGGGCTCCGTTTCAACCTGCAACCGCAGATATTGCAGCGCTACATTTGGTATACCTACTTCAGATGCAATCAAGCCATGGAATATTCGAAACGTAACTATGAGATCGCCTCCAGCTCTTCGGTTGGAGAGTATGGTTAAGTGGTATAACTCGAGACGATCTTAATAGCCTGCGAGCTCCGAGTAATAATAATCATAATATTCAATGGCCTTTATTTGTCACAGCGTTAAAAAATAATGTACTCAATAGGAAGAAAACAGAATAGTGACGAAAAGGTGGAGTGTCAGCTTACGCACAACATAGACATGTTTGACCTTTTTTTTAAGCTGTTAGGCTAGATTCTTTATACTCACTTAACAAGCAGTTATATAATTTGGATACCCAGTACTAGAAACTACGAGTGAACAAAGCAGTCGAATGTCGCGGGATGAGTAAGATGCATTTATTCCTTGAGAATCTTTGTATGACGATAATGTGGCCCTTTAGAGAGAAGGGTCTTATGTACCAAATGGGATTCAAGTTGCCTGAAGCTGTACTGCTTCAAGGAGATTTCTGTCGCGCATAAGCACAGTTTCCCAGACATTTCTAGCAAATTCAAGAATTGGCTGTACAAATGTCTTGTAAATACAGTCGCAAGTGTTAACGTTAGATCCGTATAAACACCTCTCCAGCAAGTATAAAAGCTTCCTGGCTTTAGTTGTTACAAAGTGTAAATGCTCTGGCCAGGATATACGGTCGTTAACTACAATGCCAAGATCAGCATGACTAGGGACTGCGTCGATGGTGTGGTCAGATATGTTGTGTACGAGCCGCGGTTTTGTTTTCCTAAGCTATAATAGGTGTGATAGTTTCAAGGGTAGAATCCAACTGTTTGACCATTGACGAACAATTTCAAGGTGTCCCTGAGGCAGGGCATAGCTTGCAACAGTGGTGTGAATCTTGGGGCCATTGGCATAAGCAGAACATGTGGACATGGGGAAGACTGGCTATCACTGACGCACATAAAGAAAGTTATCCCGGTGAAGAAAGCCTCGATCCCCTGCAACAACTCGCCTATAATTCCAAGACGCTCCAGCTTGAGAAGAAGCCTTCTCTGCGGGACAAGATGAACAGCTCTACAAAAGAGTAGATATTATAACTTGTCAACTGGAGTGTTGTGTTTAGAGACCAATAATTGAGGCAGTGGATAAGGGTAAGATCATTTTAGAAAGCAAATGTTAATAGCCTATCTAATATGATTCGTTCAGAAATTCTGGCGGCAGTAGGAACGAGACTTATTGGACGGTAATTTTTAGCGGAGGATTTGTCACCTTTTTTAATACACGGGTAACAGAACCACTAAGCCGGAATGAGCTCTGATATAGGATGTAGATATTATGCTTAGCGGTAGTACCAGTGCCGAAGCCCAGCTTTTACGTAGCAGTGATACGAGGAGATTATGATATCTTCCATGTTTCTGCGTTTATCCTCGAAGAAGTGTGCAAATGTGACATCAAAATTTTGACTGAAAATGGGTCCATTAACGAAAAAATATGTTTGCAACTTGATTAAATAGATTCGTCAGAAGGCAACCGCTATTTCCTCAAATTGCGCTCCATACCCGATTTTGGTGATCTCATCATCCGCAATAATGGAAAGGGAGCAATGAGAGAAGGATTGGTAATCCGAGCGACGTACGTTTCTGCGTATTGGCTTCATCAGGCACAAATGGATGAGCATCGAAGTCATAGAAGTGAAAACATTCACAATTTCTGGAACATACGCAGTGGTGGAAATATAAACACTAAATAGACACGGAATTATTATACCATTAATGATACTTGACAAAATATGGGCAAAGCGCTTGCCAAATTGATCGTTATCGTAAATATTTATAATTTCGTCATAGTTGGAGGTATCTGTATCAAAAGGAGTATTAATTTTCATTTATGTTTTAGTATGCCATATGATATTTTTTTTATAGTATACATTCCTACAAACCTCAAGTAGTGCTATGAAAACAATAGTAAAATGGCATTAACGTTGAAGATTTCGTGGCGTACGCATTACATTTTACAACATCCGGAAATGTATAAAATATTGGGTAAACGCGTCTAGGAAAAACAAAGAGATTTAATTACCAGAACGAAAGCGTGTTATTAAGAAATTTGAAGCGGCTTTTATGAAAACTGGTCGGAGGAAGGACGCGACACTAAGTATACAGATTACAAATAGTAGACTCCTCAATCCGCGATCAAACCAGTGTTTAAAGTGCAGGATCGCTTAGGCTGGAGCGAGCGCTTTGTCAAGATCGTGCGTCATTAAGGACCATTTCTGGTTTTTGCGGAGAGAGATAGCTTCGTCCTCCTCAGGCTCCCGATTAGGTAGGCCTGGTTAAAGGAGGCAAACTACGAGGATTAGGTACCTAAAGTTTTTAATGTGCAATCGATCCATAGCATCACTATTTTAAGAGATATGAAACCGTTAGGGAATGACCTTGAAGTCTGTAGCTTTTAACTCTTATGCTTTGGGTTATGAATGAAACGTCATTTTACCGAACGCGTCAAAACTGTCAATGGTGTTCTGTGTAGTGTGAATGTTTTGTGGGTTTACGATGCTTTGTGATCTGTTGTAGTTTTTGCCATCCCATTTTGTTTTTGATTTTCGGCGTAATGCCGGGTTAGCTGTTTGCTCATGCGATTTTTGATTTTCTTGTTTCTACCGTTGTTAGAATTGACCAACAATGACAAGCCAGCAGGCTGTCCTCTGTCAAAATCACAAATAGACAGCTGCTTATGACTACGATTAAGACAGTTGTACAAATATAAACACATTGCTACCTTATGACTGTGTTTATGCTTATTTCTGTGACTATTAAAACGTTGCATAGCCCCGCCAATGTTTGTTTAATCTTTTTCGGTGACCTCTTGTAGGACAACTACCGTGCCTATTTGATTACAGCAAAATGTATTGTTTCGAGAAAAAGAAAAGTTTCTGCTAGATATGACTTGTGCGTTCATTTCCTACAGCATCTTATGATATCTAATATTAATCGTATATTTGAAAGACTTTCCCTTTCGTACAAGTGAGAAGGTTTGAGTCAATGCAAAGATAGGAGTCAATAAAACTCTTAAATAAGTACTGTCGGCAAAAACGTATAAACCAAAGTGCGTTTGTAACTTTATCATTGTAGCTAGCGAATCTAATGGGTCTATTTAGCCAAGCAGTTAGCGTTAGTTAGAAAAAAAATCTGTTGGATTTTCAATGCGTTTTTCTGCAATTCTGGTGAAATATTTAGTAACACATAAGTTACCAATGTCGCTAGGTCTGTCCGATTAATTGAGTGGTTATATTAAATTTATAGATATACATCTGATTGTGTCTTGATGTTAGATGGTCGGCGATGGAAACTAGTTTTTGAAGATTAAGACTATGAAGGGTAAAATACCATAACCAGAACTATAGGTTACGAATGACAAGGAATATTTTATTTTGAGCCTTGGTGACCTTGCTAGTTTGGAAACAGGGCCGCCTTGCAACTGCAAGTGATTGGATGCAATTGTCTTGAAGTCAAAGCAATGCCATCTTGAAACTGCAAGGGCTTGCATGCAATTATCTTGGGGACTGTAAAACACTTTTTAGAAAATATGTCCACACGATATAGTGTGATCTGTAACTGCGTGTTCACATAAACACACATATGTCAAACGAAATATCATATTTATCTTAGTATATTCTGAAAGGCCCCTGCAAAAGGAGTAATTTGATATAGCATACCTAGGGTTTGTATTGCTTTTTCTGAAACTACGGAATATTCTGCCCGAAGGAAGGCTCGATTTTGACAGCATCTGCAGCAGATCATCGAACAGCTCTACAAAAATCTAAGTCATGTTCAAATACTCTGTGGGGTTCTTCTGGTCTCTAATTTATAAGACCGTTCTTAAAAATGCTATTTCCTTATGCAATATTCTGAACCACGCATTCCAAAAATGATGATTTTTGAACCATTATTGTACAAGAAATATGATCATTGCCTTCTATGAAAAGCGTTAACAATTATTTACGTAATGTGCTGTCAAAATTTATTTTACTGGCGTTTAAAAGTTTCGAACATGAAAATATTTTGCGAGAGTGATTCTACTTTCTGTACTCTGTATACCTTACGCAGGTTCAGCGTTATGGGTTTGGTCGGTAATTCCTCATACTGACTGTGGTCCGGGTTTGAACCTGCTCCTTTTTTTTGAGTTCTTTGTATGCCTCTCGTCCGCAGAAATACCTACTCATTAACCTTGGATTGTGAGATAAGTGGTTTCCTTTTTGTTGCTTTGTGAATGTGTGAGATCGGACAAAGGGATCCGGGATGATGGAACTTCGATCATAAAAAAATAATAATTATAACGGTTGGTATTAATACGTGATAGAGTGAAAATATGAGTAAATAATTGAATACAACAAAATAATCCAAAAGGCTAGGGGTTGGCATAGCCATTTTTCACCTCCACCTGTGTAGCTAATGTAAGTAGAATTATTCATTTAGCGCGATACTATATTTTAGTAGTTCATAATATCATATCTAGTACATACATCACATATAAGACCATGTAGCTGACAATTGTAATTCGACGTAATTTTAAAACGTAATAGTATTAATGATGAGACCTATTCAACCACTTTTAGATTCGGTAAATTTTAACTGTGAATGTAACTGTGCTAGCATTT